AATATGGATTATCATGTGCATGAGAAAATCCCTGGAGGTACAGTGGAGCAGGCACCCACATTGTAGTAGGTTTGATCTCCAGGGACTCCACAGATGGGGAGAAGCTGAGAAATATCCCCTGTGCTCTGGTAGAGAGACAAAGAAGAGTAAGCGCTGACAGATGGGAAAGAGTAATCACAGTGAACTGAGCCCGAAGCGTTTCCATAAAAAGGCCTGCTTTCTAGAGGCAAGGCCCTAGCAGCGTTTAACCTACCTGAAGGAAAGGTGTTCTCCCAGCTCCAAGCCCCTTTATTTTCCTGTCCTACCCAGAGGAAAGGAGAGGCACATAAGAATCACTTGTGAATGAGATGGCCCTGGACACACATTCACTGGAAGACTGACACATGATAGTAAGATTATATAGCCAAGATAATGAATGAATCAACTGAGGTACCCACTGATGGATGAATTGACAAAGAAAATGTGGTACACGTGCTCAGTGGTGCACCATTTATCCATAAAAAATGGAACCTTGTCATTTGTGGCAACATAGACCTTGACAACATTGGGTTATGTGAAATCATCCAGGCGTGTAAAGATAAACACTGCATGTTCATACTCACGTGTGGGTGCTATAAAGGCTGAAAACTTTTATAGTAGAGAGTAGAAGATTGATCACTAGAGGTTAAGAAGCTGGGGGCAGAGGGAGGGGAATGGAGTAACAGGTATCACAAAACAGACAGAAAGCATAACATCTAATGTTCTATAGCACAATATGGTAACTACACTTCACAGCAAAATACATTTTATAAAGAAATAGGAGAGGCTGGGTATGGAGCTCAGTGGTAGATCACTTGCATAGTGTACACAGGCTCTAAGTTCAATATCTAGCACAGCAAAGAGAAAAAGAAAAGCACTAAGTATTAGAATAGACAAATTCAAAGTCTCAACACAAAGCAATGATAAGTGTTTAGGGAGGTGACAGTGCTAATCACCCTGATGTGCTCACCACACATATGTTTATCAAATCATCACACAGTAGCCCATGTATATGTACAATTGCAGTGTGTCAATTTTTAAACTAAAACAAAAATGTAGGCCGTTTCCCCTCCCTACACCTTACCACCACACCAACAGTGCCCTAGGAGAATAAAGCTTGTAGCCGAAAGGGTTGAAAACAATAGGAAGGCAAAACAGGGATGTTGGAGGAATTTAAAGTCTCTAGCACCTACAGCTGCCCAACTTCTAGCCATGTGAAGATGAAACTTCAGACCTAATGGCATCTTTGCCTCAGTTCCTGCTGTACCACGTCTCCTCTCCCTTTCAGCGCTAAAAAGTAATTAGGCATGCTAAGTGGCAAGGAAAAAGCTTGTCTAAAGAGACAAAATAGACCTAGAGTCAGACTCAGCGATGAGGCAGGTTTTGAAATTATCTGATGGAGAATTTTACCTAACTAATGGGTAACTTTAAGAAAGAGTCAAAGAGAAATGCTAGACTAAAAAGCCAAAAGCTAGTGGGCTAGAAATGAAGAGTGTCTTTGATGAGTTCACTGAGAGACTGGATGTGCCCAAGGAATGAAACAGTGAACTTGAAACTAGGTCCATCAAAAATATTCCCAAACTGGAACACAAAAAATTCTTCAGCCATCTAAGGACTTGTAAGGTTTGCCTAGTTTTGTCTTCACGAGTTTTGTTATCGATCACTTTGGAAGTTGGCCCCTGGGACAATACACGGCTACTTTCCTATGACAGCTGGTCTTGCAGGGACTCAGGCCACTGCTCAGCAACTTCCAGCAAAGGCCCACACCACCTCATCTCTCCAGTTTGGGCAGCCATTGCTCCAATGTTCCTGACTGATCTATTCTCAATTAATAAAAGAGTATCAGACAGCTTTTGGAGGGAGAAGCCATGTTCCAGCTGAGAAGTGACTGCTGAATGTAAGGTAGGACCTCTGTCCTGAAGAATTATAAACAGATTGTGAAGGCAGAGACCCAGCTATGTGCACAAGGTAAGGGTGTCACCTCAGGAAGGAGACTCTGAGTCACCAGAAATGAAACACAGAGTCTGGGTCAAGCAAGCAACCATGGGGAATGACTTCCAAAGTCCCATTCAGTGATATACCCCTTCCTGCCTGTCAGGAGGTCACACCAGTGCCCCACGTCAGGGGACCCCAGAGCTGGTCCCAAGGCTCATGTGCTGTGACAGTGGAGGACAGCTTTAGAAGCCAGGCAAGGCCTGCCACCTGTGCGCCTCTGGCAATGTACCCTGGCATTGAAGTGCTACCTGCCCTGCCCTGCAATGTCTTCCTTACTCTGTGCAGAAACTCCCAAGGTTTTTTTAGAATGAAAAGATGTGAGACAACTCCTACTGTTGACCTTCGTGGAATATATATATATATATATACAGAAACTCCCAAGGTTTTTTTAGAATGAAAAGATGTGAGACAACTCCTACTGTTGACCTTCGTGGAATATATATATATATATATATATATATATTTTAGTAGAGGATCTAATATATATATATATATATATATATATATATATATATATATTAGTAAAGAATCTGTAGGGCCTCACTACACAGATCTGACTCATAGTGATCCTCCTGTTTTCAGCCTTCCAAGCACTGGGATTACAGGCGCAGACCATCACACCCAGTTTCAGTTGCAAGCTCAGTGTATCCTGGGGGTGGGGGGCAGCACAGCACATCATGTATTGAACCCTGGTTGCCACCCCTGCCTAAGCAGGCACTTTAGTCAGCTGAGCTATCTGGCCGGCCCTCTCCTGGATTTTTCTTATCCGTCTCATACCAACTCCTGTCCTCTCTACCTATGGGTGTCTGTTACTTCCACGCCCAGCAGTCTAGATGTCACTGTGAAGGCATTTCTAAGATGTAATTAATGTCTACAATGGTTTGGAGTAGAGTATATTACTTTCTATAATCTGGGTGAGACTCATCCGATCAGTTGCAGGCCTTATGAACAAATATCCAGACAAGGAATTCTGTCTCAAGAACACAACACAGGGACCCTGCCTGAGGTTCCAGCAGTACAGATGTCACACTGTCCCACCAAATCACTAATTCCTAGAACTGTCACTGTCTCTGTCTCTGTCTCTGTCTTTGTCTCTGTCTCTGTTTCTCTTTCTCTCTCTCTCTCTCTCTCTCTCTCTCTCTCTCTCTCTCTCTCTCTCTCTCTCTCTATCCTCCTATCTATCTAGTTCTATTTCTCTGGAGAACTCTAATATGGTACCTCTACAAGACTATTGGCAAGAAAGAGTTAATCTTTTGTAATAAATGCCAACTTACATTTGTAATCAAAGGGGAATTCTGTTCACTGAAAAACAATCATTCTATCCATTTATCTGGCAGTGGTGTTAGTGCAAAAAAAAACAGACTTCATTCAACTTTGCTGCTTTTCATTAATTCTCAGCTTTACCTTGTAGTAACAGGACATAGCCCTCTGGCAAGCTGAAGTCAGAAATAACGGTTATTTTTTTAAAAGCTTTATAATTCTGACCACTTGCTTCTAACTGCAGCTATTGGAGGGCTTCTACACCTCAAATAGCTTGTAGCTGTCCATGGGAGCCACTCATCACCTGTGAGAACCAGTACATCAGGATAAATTAGAAATCACCACAATTACACTTGCTTGCCAGCTTGTGGAGTCAAACTGATCGAGCTGAAACTTCAGTTTTGCTTTTTTTTCTAAGGATGAAAAATATAAGATGCCACCATGTACGAATGCAAGGAATGTGCTGGCATCTAAGAGCACTTGACTGACAAAGTATCTCTCCTGCAGGGTGCATGGTGCCCTTCCCTCCAAGGATGCTACTATTTATTCCATCTCAAACACCATGTCCGGTGTGGATGGCTTTTACCCCTCAGCATGAGACAGCCCTTCACTTCATAATGGTTTCCTTCACTGGAAAATGTGTCCCTGTGGTTGCTTTGAATCAAGTTGTCATTTAGAAATTTCCCAGTGGGCTGGTGCCCGCTCACCTAACATTAGACACCACATAAGGACAGCAAACAAGAACTGGACAGCAACAATAGGGCATCAATATGTCTAAAATAGATTTTTTAACGACACATTTTTAACAGACTCATATACTTTATTTTGACAAATTTAAGATAGAAAAATATCATAATGTGAATATAGCAGTTGTTCTTTTTGTAACATGGTTCAGGATGTGCAGTGCAACTTGGAATTGCTTATAGGAGGATATCTCTTCTGGCTGGGCTGCAGCCAAAACAAAATTATATTTCAGCCATTGCATCTGCTTGAAAGAATATTACACAATAAAACTTTTTCAAAGGCTATGGCATTCAATAATAAATACTATAAAGCCAGAAACCAAAACAACTTTTTAAATATTTTTACAATTACTAAAAGCAAACTTGACACTCCATAATTAAACCTAAGAGCTCATATAGTCAAAATAGCTTCAACCTTTTTTTTTTACCAATATAGAATAGTAGAACATTTATGTTTAAAAAACAAGTGAAGAAAAATTAGAGTAAACATGATGTTTCAGATGACTCTAAGCAGTAAACATCAATTTAGTGTATTTATAGCTGTCATTTCAACAATATACTCTTTGCTCCACTGGCACTAACAACTATATTTCTATCATCAAAAATGTGCCCCTGGGGGTAAGCTTTGAACTTATTAAGCAATTGTTTTTACACTCCATCTTTGGAGGTGGTGGTTGAAGGACTCTTGGTACATGCAGATACTTGGTTATGGTTATAAAGACAAAAACTAAATGTGCCAGGAGTCGAAGCTGAAACCACCAGTTCACTCTGCTGAGCACCTTCCCACTTCTGTTCCCTGTGATGCACAAGTAAAGCTGAGCTAGTAATTCATATAGGTGCTAACTGTGTTTTTCTGTCCCTTTCAGCTTCTTTTCTGCTTCCCTTCCCTATTCCCCAAAGAATAAAAGTGGGAGAGCCCTCATCAAAAGGTTATTTACATATAAAATAACTGTATGTACATATGTACATACATGCACCTCTCTTTCATGGACTAGGCAACTCTTCATTTTCTATCAAATAATCCTTTTTCATATACTTGGTACCCCTAACTAATCGCCACACTTCCAAGTATGCATCCTTTAAGGACCTCCTACTGGCTTCTTCGGAGCTGACTGATAGGGGTGAGCTCCTAGCTGCCAGTGGGACCCCTCGGGGGCTGCCTCTCACCTCTGGCCCACTCTGCTGAGTGGAGCCACCTGCTCCCTCCCCACCCTCTGACCCACCATTTCCATCCTCCCTGGGCAGCTCCTCCATCACGAAAGGCAGCTGGTCTCCACTTGGTTTCCCTTCCTCTCCTGGGGGCTTCGACTCCAGGTCCTCATAGTTGCTTTGCCTTCTGGTCTCCACAAATTTTGCCACACAGTAAATGATGGAGCCCAAGGTGTTCACCACGACGCCAGCAATGAACAGAGATGTGGGCTCCACGTCACTGAAGGCCACCATGCCCACCGTGATGGTGGCGATGCTCTTCACCACACCCACGAAGCTGGTGGTCACCGCCGAGTTAATGTAGGTGCAGTGCAGGGTGGTGAAGTTCATGGCGCAGCCGATTAGGATGCAGGCCACAAAAATGCAGACCATGGCCGGGTCCTTCCAGCCCGGGAAGGTCCAGGCGTGGATGGAGTCCGTGCTGGCGAAGGAGCAGATAACCAGCAGCGGGGTGGCAGAAACAGCAATGACATACTGCGCGGTGAGTGGCCCGTGCTCCGTGTCTGCACTCGCCTTCTGGATGAGCACCAGGTAGGCGGCGTGCACCAGCACTGCCAGCACGCCCGTGACGTACCCGAGGGGGTCGCCAGTCAGGTCGCCGGCTCCTGGAGCACGGTGCGGGAAGGAAAAAGAACAAGACACCAGGTTGGTGTGGGTGGGTTCCCACCGGGGCCACGCGTCGTGTTCCAAAGTATTCGCGGTTAGCGCCCCAGCTCTACCCTCTGACTTTCCCGGTACCTAAGGGACGCTAACTGTGCCTCGGTCACCTGCTACCGTGTACAGTATCACAGCCAGGCACAATGCTATGAACACGGAGAGGTCCCTTCCTGACTTAGCCCGGGGCCACCCGTCATCGTCTGTCCCTGTCCAAGACCATGGTGGGCTCAGGGTAGGCGCTCTGGCTCCCTTGGGCTGGTACCGAGGTCATCCTCCGACCCGCGTGGAACATCGCATGGGAAGGGGTCTGGTTGGTGGCTCCCTGTCCCGGGCGGGCCGTTGCAGAACTAGTGTCATCTGTACCCCGCACCACTAGGTCCCGGACCGGGATCCCCAGCCACCCCCACCCCACCCCTGCGCCAGCTAAACTGTATCAACCGCCGGCACCAGCCCGCACCTGGGTCCCACACCGACCCCTCCGCCTCAAGCCAGCGGTGCCCCGCACGTCTGCAGTCACCCGCACTGCCCTGGAAGCCCTGGCTTTGCCCCGTCCTCCCCCACAACAGCCCCGTGTGATCCAGGGTAGTTCTCGGCCCCCTCCTTCCGGCTCAGTCCAGGACTGGACTCTGGCTCTGCTCCCCGAGGAAGGGGTTGAGCACGGAAGCCCGGGTGGGGGCGGCGGGAATGGCGGTGCGCGGGGACCGGGGCGGGGGTAGGAAGCGTGGTTCCTTGCTGGGGGACCCTGAGGGAAGTGGCCGAGGCGCTGGGAGGGCTCTGCTGTGTCTGGGGCAAAGTCCCTTTTGTGAGTCTGACTACCGCTGTCCACGCTCTCCACCTCTCCCGGCCTCAGGGTCCCCATGGGGAGCAGGGGAGCTGCTCCGAGCGACTCCGCGGCCTGCGCCGGTGGGTGCTCCGGGGACCCGCGCGGGGCCCGCTCACCTGCCAGGGCGGCGCCGCAGGTGGTGATGAGCACGGCCGCGAGCACCCCTGGCGAGGGCGCGCCGTTCTTGAGTACCAGGACGCCGATGAGCATGGTGACCAGGGGCAGGCAACGCTTGAAGACCACGTACATAGGCAGGCTGAGGCCGCGCAGGGACCAGAGCGTGAGGCTGGACTGCAGCGTGGACAGCACCGCGACCCCCGCGAAGGAGCGCGCCAGGCTCAGGCTGAAGGGGGGCACGGCGACGAGCCCGAGGCGCCGCAGCAGCTCCAGGCTCAGCGCGGCGGTGGAGCTGGTCAGGCACTGCACCAGGGTCAGGAAGGTGAACTGGTAGCGGCTGATGAGGAACTTGAGCAGGATGTTGAGGGAGCCGGAGAAGACCCCGTGCGCGATGGCCACCGAGATGCCCAGCACGCGGCCGCGGCACAGCTGCCGCATCGCGTCGGCCCCGCCGTACCCGGCCGTGGCGGAGCTCGGGGCCCCGCGGGGCGCAGAAAACCAGGGCGACGGGGGAGCCCGCCCAGCACAGCGGCGAGAGGCAGCTCCGGCCGGGCGTCCTCGCGCGCGGCGGCTCGGCGTCCGACTGCCCCGCAGCGGCTCGGGGGAGGCAGGGGCGGAGGCTGGGGACTCCGAAAAGTGGCGGGGTGGGGGGTGGGGGCCGGTGTGAGGAGTGGCGGGAATCCTAGCGACGGCGACGTTTGAATAGGTGACGAGCCGCCGTGGATTGTGTCCCGCGGTTTCCCAGCGGGGAAGACGCCGGGCGGCTGCCAAAGGGCGGGACGGGCCTGCGCCCCTCTGCCCCCAGCGCCACCGGCCAGCTCCTGCTGTCCTCCGAAGCCGCCGAGCGGTGGAGGGAATCCCGGGCACAGCTACTGACGATTTTAGAAACCTCCGTGCTCTGGGAACAGGCACCGTTTATTGGTCGCAACAAGTGAGGGCGCCCCCAGGCCCCTTGCCCGAGTGCTGCAGCGAATTTTCCACCCACTGTCTCTCCCAACGCAGCAGCGGGAAGAGAAACCCACCGGTGCCGGCGGGCGGCGCAGCCCCTGCTAACTCTAGATCCGGCGCCGACTCCGCGACGCTGCGAGAACCCGTGCCCTTGCTGAGCTCTGGAGCTCCGGGCGGGTCCTGCTCGGCGCCGGGCGCTGCGCCCCGGGTTTGCGCACCTTTTCACAAGGGTCTTGGGAGAAAGCGCGCTGCTCTGCCGGAGCTTCCGCGGGCAGATACTGAAGTGGAGGCGCACATTCAAGTGAGGCTAGGATGTGAAGGGAGGCAAAAAAAAAATTAATTAATTAATTAATTAATTTTTTAAAAAGAAAAGCAGAAACGAAGTCTAGTGCAAGTAGTCACTATCAGTTCTGGAGGATCATAAAGGCGGTGAGGCCCGAACGGTAGCGAGGAGGGTTAGATGCTCCGGCTCTATGGGGCCGGTGGGTTGGCAGGAATCCAGCGTCCTCCAACATGCCGGGTGGCCCCTTGGTTGCCTTATTAGATCCGCGGAACGAGTTTCAATGTTTGGGCCAGATCGTTTTGGGGAACAAGACGAGGACAAAAGTATGGGTACTACCTCCCCTCAGCAGGGTACACCTTCGTCTCCAGGATTGTAAACTGTGTGCTTTCCAGATGGCTGAGATAAAAAGAAACCCCCACTCCCCAGGTGCCAGACTTTAGTGACTTTGCTATTAATTCAGTGCCCTGGGAAGTAACTCCGAAACGGTACGGAACTCATAGCTGCAGAGCCTCTCGCTCAGCCCAGGCGATCGCTAAGCGCAGGCATGATTTAGTTTTTTCCGCTACCTGCAATTTGTGGCCTTGCCAGGGTTCAAGCTCCAGGAAGAGCTCTAAGCCTCTACGCTCCTCCCCTTTCGGTTGCTGGCTCCAGTCCACTTCTCTTGGGCTCCGGAGAAGCAATCTCCTAAACTGCAAATGCTGCACCGCCTTGCCTTGACACACCCGATCTATTTAGCTCCCTCTGCCTCTTATTTTTCCGTTTTCCGGGCTAAACCCGACCCTCCAGGTCAGATGTTGAAGTGGCAGAGGAGGAAAAAAAAAAAAAAATACAACAGGGATCACAGCATCACTGTTTCCTTCGTCTAAGCCGGCCACTTTTCTGTTGTGGGTGCTCACTTTGGTGAAAGACAGATTCCTCTCAAGCAGTTCACTGGTTTATGTACCTAGCGCCTACTAGAGCCACTTTCCTGTCCCGACAGGTGGACATTCAGGAAAATGTTTATTAATGGTCCAGAATGCTAACTTTCCAGGAATAACACTGGACTGCATTACACTGAAAATATGTGCTTCCGGTTCCCCGGGGAGCTCTTGGTTTTTATTGCTAAAAGTTGTGGTTACACACTACTGGCTATTTAAGGAACTCTGTTCAAGGGCTGGTGTTATTTCTCTAGGAAAGAAGTCTGAAGTAGCAGCTTAAATTATGTGTATGTGTGTTGTATTTACTCAAGATAGAGACAGATTAAAAAACTGAATATTAACTTTAGAAGACATCAGCAATGAGCAGATTCCTGCTTCTAGGGCTTATTCTAATTAAAGGATGGCTGCCTAACTATCCTAAGTGAACATTATGAAGAAGTGGCAGTGTACAGTGGGTTTGCAGATGATTCATTTCTTCCAGCAAGCATAATTGCTTCCATTTGTGATACTAACATTAGGTAGAAGACTGGGGGCTGTTTCAACTACCTTTCCCATTTCATTTCGGCAAGACTGTTTAGCTTAATATCTTAAACCTACAGCAGCATGAAACAGTACATTTTCTCCATATTATGGCATAGGTTCTTTATTATGGCTCTAAAAAGAAAATAAAAACTTTAATCCCACTTCTCAGTTGCTAAACGCCTAACAAAAGGTGGGGAAAGATAACAATACTATGTTTAGCAAAGTTAATTGAACAAGAATGTGGATCTGAGGTCAAATGGCTATTTGGCCAACTGGCCAAAGTATCAAGGGTCTAGACACAAGCTCTTTATCTTTAGAGCTACTCAATAAATATTAGTGGCATCAAATCAATCAGTTCATTCAACAAACATACAGAGCAAGTATTCTGTTCTAGGTAGGCTGTTAAGCCAGAGAGAATTGCAAGAGGAGCACTCAGGTAGTCCTTAGGGAGTCACAGGTTGGGGGAGGCAACACAATGGAGCTAATGCAACAGGGAAGTCTTCCAACAGGAAGGGGGAGGGGCGTCCTGGAGGATAATTAAATCAATTTGACTGGAGCAGCAGGGAAGAAAAAACTTTTTTTTTTTTTTTGAAATCTTACTTAGGTCATTATTTTTTATTGCATTGTAATATGTAAGAGGAAAACAAATTTTATAACTAATGAGTAGAGTTTAAGATCCTGGGTTTGATCCCCAGCACTGAAAATCAAATAACAAATGGATTTATTTCCCCTTTTTAAAAATAATAAAATTGGGATACGATCCAAGTGTCCAGAATTCAGAATTTGATATTTAAGAAAGCACATTGTGATCAGCTTTCAAGATGGTCGCTAATGATCTATTGCTTCTTCATATTCACACCCTTGTCAACTTCCACCCTGGACTAGCATGGCCTTTGTAACCAACAGAAGATGTGGAAGCAGGAGCCGGTCACTACTGAAGTTTGCTTATAAAAGATTAAAGCTTCTGTATTGGATTTTCCTTCTCTTCCATCACTTGGTCTGGGGAAAAAACATACCCCAGGGACACCACAGACAGCACGGCCAGTACTTGAGGCTTGCTAACAGCCATGTGAATGAGTGGGAAGCTGATCTAACATGGAGGTGACAGCTTAACTAAATAGCAGAATGACCAGGTCCATGACCAGGACCAACAACTCAGCTAAGCTGCTGTTGGATTTCTGGCCTATAGAGGCTATGAGACCATAAATACAAGTTGCTGTATACAACGTTTTGAGGAGACTTGTTACATAGAATTAGACAACTGACACGTGACTCTAGTGTTCCATGTCAGGACATCACTTATGCTTTTAAATGACTGTTCTATCACATCACCTTTGACCAACCATGACATAATGCACATTCTTAAATATCTGTTCCAACCCATACTTCAGGTACTTTAAGACCTTGTAAGCAGAACTGCTGGGTTAAAGGGAAACTTAAATTCTTGATTTATTGCCAAACTGCCTAAAACATGTGTAATACTGCCCTCATGTTAAACAATATTGGATAATGTTAATATTTTAAATGTTTGCCAAACTGATGTACAAAGAAAGGGAGATACAATTTTAATTTGCATTTCTTGGCCATCATTGAGACAGTCTGAATAAACCTTTTTGAAGTGTATTAAACATCTGCCTTTTTACATCAATGAAATGTCTATTGATACCCTTTGTCCACCTTTGTGTTTGGTTGTCATAGCGACTTTATGAGTCTTTATAAATTCTGGATATTAACCATTTGTTATATGTTGCTAATGTATTTTTCCATTATATCCTCTCCCTAAACTTGGTGTTTTCATGTTGTCAGCCTTTCTCTTTAGCATCTCATACACTGTAATTTCTAAAATGGTGGGTAAGAATTTGCCAAGTCAGTACAGCACACTCAAGGCACACAGAAGAGGTTGGACAAAGAAAAGAAAACCTATGTGATGTCCACAGGGAATTTGTGTGTTGCTCAAGAAGAGAAAGAATGCTAGGAAGAGGAGCAGGATTAGCCAGAAGACCTGGCTTCCTGGTCAGCGAGCCAGAGTTTCTTCCTATAGGCAATTCTGCAAAAAGAGAAAGGCTTTCCACTGAAATTGGGATAATCAGATTGCAGTTTAGATCAGTCTCCGGCAGCTGTGTTGAGTAGGATGGCTCCCAGGGCACAGAATTGGGAATAGACAAACTGTTTCAGAAGCTACAGTTGTCCAGAGAAAATGGATTGAACTGTAGCAGCAGTTAGCGCGAGGGGAAGAGACAAAAATGGAGAAATATTGAGGTGGTGAACGGGGAGGAACAAAATGGTGTGCTGGTCTTTAGCTTAGCCTAAAGGTGTACTTATCTGGACTCTATAGTATTAGGCAAAAAGATCTGGGCAGGAGGAGGACCGGGATTAGTAAGGTACATTTGGGTGGAACAAAATGAGTGCAAAGCCTGTGGAAGACCTAGGTGGGGAAGAGTGTGTGTGTGTGTGTGTGTGTGTGTGTGTGTAAGTAAGTAAACTTAAGTGGGTTAACACATCCAAGGAGAGGCCCTTTAAGTAAAAAATTAATAAGAGCACATCTTTGGAAGAGCTCAGCTAAGTACCACCAAAGGCAAAAAGGACAGCTGTCTCTCAGCCTGGGTCTCCAGGAGGCCAAAGGACTCTATAAAATCACTGAGAGTCAGGCTCAGACTTTGAGGTCTTCAGACTTGGGAAGCTGATGTTTCTCAGTTTTCCCAGGGAGGGCCAGGATCTAGTCACCAGTGTTCCATACCTTGATAGTTTCTCAGAGAGCCAGTTTTCGCTGCTCCTGAGGTGGCCACATGGCAACACCAAGGGCTTTAGACACAGCTACTAGCAGACTCCAAATGCAGTCTCATTACTTCCCGGTTCTTAAACCTTCTGAGCGCCTTGGCTTCCCTGTCTGGACAACCAGTAGGCCTGCCTTGCAGGCAGGTTGGAAGGATTAAAGGGGTCACACAGGCAAGAGATCTCAGAGAATGCCCAGACCACAGATGCACGGCCGGCGCTTCCTTTCCCTTCACCCACTCGAGTGCTGCCCCGTCAGATCAGCGCTGACAGCTGTCCATCAGTGGCTGAGCTGAGCTCCTGAGCTACCAAGAATTCAGACCTCATGATATGCTCCCCTGAGAGAGAACCCGCCACCGCTCCTTGTTTTCCAGGACTAGCTCCAGGGAAGAAGCTGAGGAAGCGCTCAGCCCTGCTTTCACACTGACAGGTTCCCAAAGGCTAAGTTATGGATTATGAGGTTAGGGTTCTAAACACCTCTCACTCCCTAAAATAGAGGAGGAAATGACTCAAGGGAGATGTCAGGTTTTAAATCAGTAATTTTTGTTTCAAAAATACATAGTACATTATTTTATTAGATAATCTCTTACATTCTAAAGGAAAAGGAAGTTTATTTCATTGTAAATATGAGGTGCACTTTTTTTTTTTTTTCAGTCCTTTTTAAGTTATGCTGCTACAAAGCACACGTTCTGTGGCCCTGCTGTGTTCAGCCACACCTTGACATGATGCCTTTAGTTCAGGTGAAGGGAAGCAGCATGGAAAGGCTCCAAGAAACATCCTGTGCCAACTCTAAGAGGCCAAACACTTTGCTCACTGCAATCCACTTAGACTTAGTGCATCAACATAAATACTAGTATTGCTGATGGAAGAATCAAAGTAGGCTCTGTTCCCAGAGATTATTCATGCATTCAACAAATATTTATGGGCGTCTTCCATGTGCCAGGCCTGGTGTTAGGACAGAGTCCCTGCCCTCAGGCCACGGGCACAGGGTTGTGTGACTGACAGGTGTACAAGGCTAGAAGCCTGAGGCACAAATCTTTGGGCCGGTCCCTGGAAACAGCCCTGAACGCTGGGGTCTGCGTTTTCCAGTGCCGCTCTGGCTCCACTTCATGTTTTGATTTCTTCTCTGAATTTATGCTGTCTTGCTTTGGTATCTTCAGTTGTCATCATTTTTTCTGGAACAAATAAACATGTAAATAAGATAGTATAGATTTTTTTTTTTTGCTGTAATTTCAAATATATTTTGTTCTTTACAAATTCTTAAAGCTTGATAATGTAGAATTTCTGCCATATATAACACATTTTAATAGTATGTAAAAAAAGTACATTACAGAAAGCAGTTTAACAATGTCCTTTTAAATTATTTCTTCCCCCAGTTTCAGTACCTTAAAGATTTCTCAGAGATTGAGGGAGGCAGCAAGAAGGGTTGCCAGCATTATTTGGGAATCATTTTAAGGATGTTTGCATTAGCCTCAATTGGCTTTAAGACTTCTGCTTAGTGGACAGATTAAAAATGTTTTGACAGTAGGTAATTGGGAAGGGGGAAATACAAAATCCTATATATAATACCTAAAATTCAGTAATGTTAAAAATGACAGGACACCTTACCTCACAGCATTCTATGTTCTTAGAGCACAGCAGCAGAGCTGGAGAAAATTTCTTTCAGCCATGTGCTAGGCACATAGTAGATGTTCAATAAAGGACTTCTGAACAAGCTAAATCTTTTAGAGCCCAAATGTCAACCACAGCCCCAGCCACATCACTTATACTGCTGTATTTATAATTATCTAACATGTCGTACTGGGTATGCCATAAACAATATACATTCAAGACATGCAATCTATTTTGATTTTTATAAACAGTTGTGATATTTACATAAACAAATAAAAATGAAACATACGACTCTCCATATAGTCTATTGATCTCTCATATTTTAATCCATTTTACAATACAGAGATTACATTTTAATCAGTAGTACAAGATACACCAAAATATCGATTATGTCTTGGGATTTTAAGGTATATGGCTTATGTACCAGGCTCGCAGAATGACCCAAAGTCTTTATTACTAGCTGCCTCAAAACTGATTCCGGGGTAAATCTGAAGAATTGGAAATCTGAATCTCACATGGAAGCATAACATCTATGTTTTCAGTAGCTGATTTATTTGCTGGTAAGCAATTCTTTGGTCAACATCCTTGCTTCTGTCCAGGGCAATGCGTCTCAAGCAGGAATCACAGTAAGACAAGCGGGGTCATATATTTTTACTGTTTCATCCCAAGAACAGTCAGCCACCTACAAAGCCAAAACAAAACAACAAACACAAAAGTTCAAAACTAGCAAGAAAAACCAAAGTCATTTAGTAGGTACATCATTCTTTTATACAGGAAAAACCAGGGATACCTTTTTGAAAAATGGCCTATTTTCTCTCCCATGGTACATTGTGGGGATTATTTCCAATGGACTGAAGTTGCCTCCAAGGATTTCCTCCCCGACTGGAGAGTTACACAATTCCCTACCTCTTGAGCTAAATGTTGAAAAGATGCACTAGTAAAGATTGAGCTGAGATTTTTGCTTTAGTGGATAATTTTAAATTGTTGTCATATGGTATAAAAGAAAGAGAAATACAGCATCTTGAGTAGAGTATTGTTATGGCTTATGTCTAGATGTCCCCCCAAAGACTCATGCAGTCAAGGCAGCAAAGGTTTTCAGAGGTGGCTTTGGTCCCATTCCGCTGTATCTCCCTATTAGTATCTTCTGGGATGGTAATATCTATCTTCTTCTTTTTTTTTTTTTTTTTTTTGTAATATCTATCTTGTGCCATTGAATGTTGGAAGTGTTTAACTTTCTTTTCATTGGTAGAGAGTCTTTGGCACATAGTAGATGTTCAGTAAAGGACTTCTGAGTCTTGCAGGGAAGAGTTTGCCTTAAATCTCAGAGGAAACTTTGGGCTTGGACTTTTCAGCAATGCTGAAATTGTAAAGACATTAAGAACTGCTTTTTTTTTTCTTTTTGCAGAACCAGGGATTGAACTCAGGTCCTTGTGCTTGCTGGGGAAGCACTTATTCCACTGAGCCATCTCCCCAGCCCCAACAACTGTTGATGGTGGACTAAATGCCTTTTGCATAAAGGGATGTGCATGAGTCACTGTGCCCTTCCCAAGCCTCATGCAGTCAGAGGGGTTCTCTTTGAGAGTGGCAGGATCTGGAGTGTACAGTGATGGGATCAAGTGTTTGAATATTAAACCAGTCCACTGATTGGTTTGGTATAGTCCTGGCTAGGCTTGAGGAGGTAAGTGTTACATCCAACCTAGGGTGGGTAGCCTGCATAAAATGTAAGGGAGAAAAATGAGGGCTCACGGCCTCTCACCTGCCTGTTTGCTATGGCCTGTTTCTGCTCTGCGATACCCCTCTGCCATGCTACCCTGCCTGATCATCAGCTGGCTACAGACTAAAACCTATAAACTATGAGCTAAATAAACTTTTCTTTTTTTAACACTGGATATTGGGTATTTTGTCTCAGCTATGAGAAAAGTAACTAAGGTAGTTTTTTGTTTGTTTGTTTGTTTTTGTTTTTTTGCGGAACCAGGGATTGAACTCAGGCCCTTGTGCTTGCCAGGGAAGCACTTATTCTACCGAGCCATCTCCCCGGCCCCTACTAAGATAGTATTTTTAAAAATATGAAATAATGTTAGAAAATTAAAGCTGGGTATTTAGGACTTGGGAGGAAGACAAGGTGTACCTCTTGCCTTCACAAATGGGCTCACTCCAGACCAAGTGTGGAAAGCCTTCAAGAGACTCTGAGATGAAGGACATGGGACTTTCACAGACCGAAGCCTGCCACAGGAAGAGCTGAGCTAGAACCAGAGCTTATACCTGTTGTTGTCTCCATTAAAGTGGTCCGTTGTCAAAGGCAAATTGCCCATCATTATTTGCCTAATCCTGCAGTTATAAGTTTTTATACCATGAGATACAGGGACATTGTGTTAATTTACCCCTGATTCATACATGTGTGTGTTTTCAAGTATTGGACCTTTAAGAATGTAAAATGTCAACTATTGCAAAGAAAAGAATCAGAGAAGTAGGACAGGCCTCACGCAAAGTTCTATAAATTATGTTTCTGAATCCATACTAAATACTCTTTAATCCATTTTCTTATTTATTCAGGACTTATAATAACTAACAAATGTCAAGCCACTGAATCAGCAAATGTTCATAAATCAATACTTGATAATACATGAAAGATCTAAAACCATACTGTTATACAGAATTATGGATTCAAATTAATGAAAATGGCATTTCTCTATTAACTAATTCCAACTATTTCTATAATTTTAAATAAGTTCACAAGCAAAAATATTTTTTAAAATGTACTTTACTAAACTAAAAAAGGCTCTAGATCCTTTCAGGCTGGCTCTGTGAAGACTTCCTGGTAAGGAAAAATATCATACCGCATGCTCCCTGCGATAGCGTATCACTGATACCATCAGCACCCAAGGGCTTCTGGCAGCACTGCCACCCCTTTAATTCTAGGCCCCAGTATCAGTCCAAGGTCCACTTAAGGTCCCACAGTAGCTATCAGTGGTCAGCTCCAAAGACATTTTAGAAAGACTGTGCTAAAAATAAGACCTGACAGGCAAACATTAGAAAGATTTTACTAAGATAAAAAGTGTTAGCAAAAAGACAAGGCGAAAGGCGCAAGAATAAATAATCCGCTTCACAGGATGAGGTGCACGCAGCCTCCAGGTGGCGAAGAGGAGCCTTTCCTAGCTCCCACCCTGCTCCTCCAGTCCCTGGGAAAGCCTCCTGGCCAGGCAGTGGGAAAGCCTCCTGGCCAGGCAGACTCCACTGAGGACAAACTCAGGTTAAGGAGTGAGGAGGGCAATAAAGTATCTCCTCTTCCATCTACCACGCGATCTGGGACCTCAGCCTAAGACTCACCTCTTTGACATTAACTTCCTGTGAAAACACTTGTGAGAAATCAAGCCAGCAAAATATTATTTGGTGTCCTCTCTGTGGATCATGGTAGCTATTACCATGATCAGCCTTTCTGGGTTACCTGATTTCATGGCCTATGTCTTTCACTGTCTTGGATGAGACCATTTTATGATTCTGTACATTATAGAAAACTGCTCACAATTCAAGTTATTCTAATCCATAAAGGCAGCAGGGATTGTTGTCCTATGGAAATGCTGCTGATAGCCAAGATTCACCAGTTTTGCTCCTATTACTAAATTCATTTCAGCACTCAGAGGATGCCTATATGTGTCTGACCTTTGGTTCGTTTGAGTGAGCTGTAACATCTTACAGGCATTACATAAATGAATTCGGCAAAATCTTTGATACATGTTCATTAATACAGCTATGAAAGTCACAATCACCATTTTGGAAATTATCCTTTAACATGCCTACTAACATGAATATAACTTTATTTGCCTCAACAGGGTAACTATTATTTCTGTGGGACATGACAATTCTTGTTTCTTTTTTTGAGACAGTCTTGCTATGTAGTTCAGGCTGGCCTTGAACTCACTTTATAGCCCATGATGGTCTCAAACTTGCAACGATCCCCTCCTGCCTCAGTTTCCCGAGTGCTGGGTTTACAGGCGTGCATCACCACTCCTGGCTGACAATTCTTGTTTGTTATACGATACAATACAGTAAGTTAACAGTAAAGTCACTTCATTTAAGAAACATTATGGAACAGAGAGAAGGGATAGAGAGTTATACGAAAGGAGAATAAGAATAATGTCTAAAATTGGGCATGAAATTAAAGGCAAATAACATAAAACAGCATGATCAATATATAACATAAAACAGCATGATCAATTTTCCAATTTTAACAGCTTTTCTTAGTACTTAGACTATCAGATAAATTATCCAATGCCAAAGAGTGATTTAACAAAAGATACAATGTTCTTCTGCATAAGTTATTTTTTAAAAAGGTTTCAGTCCTCAAATAGGGAGCCTGCCCATTTGCTCAGTTGTTTAAGTGCCTGCTTAAGCAAAGCAGTCAGGCGCAGAATTCTGTGGTTCGATCCCCAGATCCTCATGCGTTACCAGACCTGCCCTTAAGGCATCTTTAGCCAGCAAAAAAAAATAAAAAATTAAAAAAAAAAAAGGCATATTACAAAACTGGTTTCCTAAAAGTATTTGCACATTAGGCAGTGGTTATATATATATATATATATATATAATTATATATATATATATATATATCAGGAATTGAACCCTGTACCTCACTCTTGCCAGGCAGGTGCTACACTGCTGAGCTATATCCTCAGGCCTGGTTCTCAAATTTTAATGTACATTAGAATCATCTGGAGGTGACAGAAAACTGGTCCCATCCTTTAGCCCTGGTTCTCAAACTGCACTCAGCATTTGTGACATCACTTAGGACTAATAAACACCCTTTATCTTTAACGCAAGGTCCACAGGCAAGCTTCACAGGATCCGCAAATGCAGCACTTCATGTGCACGTGCCTTTTGGGAGGAGGGGAGAATGCACAGGTATTTGTAATCCAGGGGGACGAGGACAGGGTTACTGGGCCTAGGAGAAACTGCAAAGGAGCCACTGAAACCAAGTTGAGGACAATGGTTGCATCTGGGAGGAAGGGGTACCTGCCAGAGAAAGAGGGGACGATCTGTGCAGAGGCACGGGTCAGAGGGAATGGGGACCTGGGCAGTCCAGCTTCAAGGCCACTGAACTGCTTTCGAACACAAACACTTCACTTTGGCTAGGAGGCTTTCGCTGAGTGCACACTGGGGTTTCCCGAGGGCTGGCGCAAGGCAGCGCTCTCCTTGAGCCCCTTCCCCCGCAGCCTTCCTCCTCCCGAAAGCTGCCACAGGGATGCCCTCACTCCTGAGCCCTTCCGAATTTCCTTCAACCTGACACCAAAATGCAAACCTTCTCATCATGGCTCAGTTCTCAGTTAAATTATCAATATTTTAGGAAAAAACGATTTTCTTTTTTTTTTTCCTTCAAAGTTTTATTGATAAACAGATAGCAATGAGACAGTTTCAAATCAAATCGGAAGTACAGTTTCAACAAATAATACACTGCATATATTCTTCTTAGTGGTTAATTGCTGTACAAGATGCGGACTTGTGATCCTATTTACAAACACCATTAGAACAAATCATTCTATTCATTAAGAGAATGCAACTATATATCTATCCCAACCACTTTGAATACACAGATACAAAATGGACATTCATCGGTATACCCCATTTTTTCTAAGTTCCGTTATTGAATATTATAGGTGTGTACACTCAGCAAAATATTCTAAAAGAGTC